AGCTTTGTAGGGTTGTGGGAAAAAAATCCCCCCTGCAAAGTACAGAATAGTGAATAGTGAATGTGCATTTTTAGAATTTAGTATGAAGGATGGGTGCATGCATAAAGGAATTAAGAATAAAATGTAAAATCTTCTCCTTAAAGGTTTTATACAAGTGTGTTTCCATAACAATTCTGACACAAAGTGCTTATTTTACAATAGGTTTGCTGATTTTAGTGAAAACTTGTTCACACTTCAGAGTTAGGCACAGAGAAGCCTCTTCTATTGTTCCTCTGTGCACTAAGCAGCTTGGCTGAGCCAGTTGCTTGAGGGTTATTTATTTGTAGGTAAAAAGAAAGGGAAGAGCATTTTTTTGTACAAATTTCACACCCAGCTGTTTCAAACTATCAAAGAGGTCCAGTTTGAAAAGCCTTCTGGTTACAGGACTTCTTGAGCTTATGTTTTTAAACCTTTTCACTGTTGCAGTTATTTACAGTTTGTAGTGTTATGTTTTGGACAGCATGCCAAAAGAGGTCAAAGTGTGAATTTGTCTTTTATGATAAAGCACACTTATTTTTAGGGACAGTTCTATGCAGAAAGGCACATTTTATTTCTTGTTAATTGCTGAAGTTAAAAGCAGATAACTGACTTCTGGGAACCATCAAATCTGTTAATTTTGGGGACTTTAACCTCCTCTTATTTACTTTAACTGTAATATGAGAAATCTCTCTCTGATTACTCACAGACACCTCCTGTACAATCAGGAGTTGTGCAACTAAAACTGGCACACAGATACCTCTTGGGCATCTGAAGGTTCTTATCTATATCAGATGTAATGTTGTCATCATATCATCTTAGCCTGTTACAAAGTTGCAAGACAATGTGACAACATCATTACATGTGGTATAGATAAGAACCTTTAGATGCTCAAGAGGTATCTGTGTGCCAATTGTGGTTGCACAACTCCTGATTGTACAAGAGGAGTTTGTACAAACGGAGAGATTTATTTACGGTAAGATTGTTATTCATCTTTGAACTTAAGGTGGCAGCAGGGCTAAGGCCGGGTTAGAGAGGATGCTATATTGTGCATGGTTTGCCTGCTTCTTGATTCTTTGACCTACTCCTGTACTTTCCTCAGTGTCAACTTGTGTCAGTGGTTTTTGTAGTGCAACAGATCCTACTTGGGTGGTGACTAAGAAAACATCTCAAATTATCTCAGGAGGGACTGAATGACTCTTCTCTCCAATCATTAAACTGTAAAAAGTTGAGCTTTTTAATTCAATTCAGTTTTATTTATAGGGCACCAAATCACAACGCCTCAAGGCACTTTATAATCTAAAGTAAAGACCCTACAATTTTATAGTTTTTTACAATTTTAAACTATCTGTGTAATGGACTGGGTCATTGTGTTGGGCATGAGGCCACAATACCCTAGTGTTAGGAGCTTTAGCTTTGTTTTTTCAAGAACATTTCGTATATAGATCAGTAATGGTTTTGGTTTCAGATATAGTGCAGCAGAAACATCTTCAAATGAAAATGTAACTGTTCCATAATGTTGAACTCCTGCATTTTTTCAGTTATGTAGGAACTAGTCTTAACCAATATTTCTTTCTTTTCAGAAGCAAATGGATGGCAATGGCAAACCATTATGGCGACATTCTACTTCAGCCAGGACTTTCCATTTCACGGGGGTGAGAAGGGCTTTACCTTTGCAGAAGAAATGTGTGCTGAGTAACAATACAATGGAATCTTCAATAAAAGGATGCACTACTGGAGGATGCGTGAGGAAGTCAATCAAACTCAAGGTAATGCAGGTGGATTTGCTTGCAGATCTGCCTTTTCTCCATCTGTGTGTTCACCAAATATAAACATGTAGACCCAGAAGCTGTTGACCCTTGGAGGAGAAAATTTCCAGTTAACACTACAAAGGAGTATACTACAAAAGAAGTTTGACATAGCAACACTTCCTTTGCGCTAGCTGGCTTGACTAAACCTGAAACTCTCAGTCAGTGATAAGGGGTATCTTTCAACTTTCTCCATTAAACTTGGTTTTCTGGTTCAGGCTTTGTGTGTCCTGACATAAAAGGAGGTGTTTCACTCGCCATATGACTTTTCTTTTTCACAAAATGATTCCAATCGTAGACATTATCAGGTCATGATGATTTAAAAAAAATCCGACAAAAAGTACAACACTACTGGAAATAAGCAAAGAGAGTAATGCTGCAATAAGAGCGTTAAAATAAAGATTTTGACTGGAGTTCATGTATTTATTTTAAAGCTGATTGCACTCTTGGTGCTGCTGGTTGTTTTTAATTGGATTTTTAATTGGAGCTTGGAAACTTTAGATTAAATGGTAAATGGCCTGTATTTGTATAGCGCTTTTCTAGTCCCTAAGGACCCCAAAGCGCTTTACACAACCTGTCATCCACACACATTCACACACTGGTGATGGCAAGCTACAATGTAGCCACAGCCACCCTGGGGCGCACTGACAGAGGCGAGGCTGCCGGACACTGGCGCCACCGGGCCCTCTGACCACCACCAGTAGGCAACGGGTGAAGTGTCTTGCCCAAGGACACAACGACCGAGACTGTCCAAGCCGGGGCTCGAACCGGCAACAAGGCGAACTCCCAACTCTTGAGCCACGATCGCCCCAGATTAGATACAAGTAACATCACATGTTACTATTCCAAGTAGCCCACTAAAGGGGATATTAAAATAGCTTTAGTAATGTACGCCTTAGCAAGTTGCTCATGTAAAACTCTGACTTTAAACTCATCATCGCTAACCCATTGATCTTGCTTCATAGTATACTCTCAAGTCTCCAAAAACAGGTACAAAACGCAAGAACCCATAACAAGGCAATGTGATAACAATAAAAAAAACTAATAAAATATACAATAAATAAATAAAATGGTATGCAAACCCTAGGATAAAATGATTAATTTGTCAGTTAAAATAAGCACATAAATATGTTCTTATGTGGGACGATTATAGACTGATATATGGTCATTTACAAATATAATCAGCCATTTTTTTTCTTTCAAACATAAACATATTTGCCTATCATTTGGTAGGAGTAGTTATTCACGAGTCCTTATTAAGATAACATCACAATGCTTCATTATTGTCACAGCAAGCCATGGATTACTTGTGTACACTCTGTTTACGCTCTGCCCGACTCTGCTCGGACAAACTGGTTGTTATGATTGGGATATTCCAAACAAGTGTTGCCAACTGGGAAGTTACACAGTGCCCCCTGGCTGACAGACTATGCAACATCTCCCATCTTATATTCATCGGCCATTACAAATTCTGATATCGATATGTCACGAATATGTGCAGGGATATACAGTTAACCAGCTGAGGAGTGACAAAGGTTTGGATAACTATTTGTATTAGCACTTGTAGTTCGTAAGAAGCTGTTCTTCACAACATTACCTGTTTGATTGTTAAAAGCTAAGAATGAATCCATAAAAACATCAAGATTTAAACTACAGATCTACATATGTGACTAGAGGACCAAATTATTTTTGTTTCACTCAAAGAAAGTAGCAGTTAAAAAATTGACAGTGCTGGAATTATTCTGATTTGCTTTTGGAAGAAACAACAATAACACAGAGTAACTGATGCTATAAAGAGAGAACTGTCAGGGTACTTAAAATGCTTAAACTGCTTCTGCACAAAATCAATTTTGCCTGGAGGAGGCTGCAGTGCATTGGGCCTTTTTCATGTTTTATGTTGCCCGCATAAATATTGTAAGAACTACAGTTCACACTTGAAAGGTTTCCAGGTTTGAGCCGGTGTTTGGAGTGATACGTTGAGACAAAGTGTGAAATGTTTGTGTTCTTGTTGTATACACCTGTATCCTGTTATCCTACTCTAGTTGTTTTTTTTTAATGATTTCATGTAATTGCTTACTAATCAAAAACAATATGTTATTATAGTGTCCCACTAGCTTTACATCTTAGGCTCAGTAAAACAGTGTGACAGCTGAGGAATTCAAATGACACAATCAGGCAGCAGCTGCACATTGGCTATTGTAAACTGCTTATTATATTTGTTAATTCATGCATTTCAGTTTTCTTCATAAAGACACTCGAACAAGATCTCTTTATCCCAGTTGCTTTAAAAATACTTGCAAAAATTGCATTTACACAGAAAATGTACCATATTTTTTTGTGTCATGAATAATGAGGCCAGCCAGATTCATTGTTTTTACACTATTAGTATGTTAAAGTTTAGCTGATGGCCTCATCATTATGTGTTATGTACCGGTACGTTTGATGTCTGCTTTATCAGATGTTCTAGCGAAACTTCCTGGTGGTAAAAGTTTATGATAAAGGCCGCCTGAATGCAGCACATAACAGGAAGAGTAAACCCTTGCTGATTTTAACTGATCAAAGCGGCTCTTGTAGAATAATCAGTAAAGTCATCTGGTGCAGTCTGTGGTTGGAATGAAACCTGTAGACTCTCTGACTCCGAAACAAGTGGTTGCCCAACCTGCTCTGAAGTGTAGTCTACTCTTGCTGATAAGTGCTACTCATTCTCTGAAGAAGTTCTTTAGTGTCTTTTGTGGATACATTCTGAGTCTGTGTCATTGTTTCTGCCTGGCAAGACACACTCTGACAAAATAAGGCTCCTCAAACCCATTAAGGTAAACATTTGAGCATTTTTGAATCTTTATATATACCAGGGATTAAAAATCAGGGCAACGCTGACATCACAGGTTATCATACTGGCTGTAGATCTGATGTGAACAACAAAAAAACGGCTTTTCAGCTTAATGTGCACAGTGATGCTGATGTGTGTAGCAGTTAATCAGTCGTATTGCACTGCGGTTTTATTTTAGGTTGACTTTTTAAATGTGTTGTTATGTCGTATTTCTGTGCATTATGCATGAATTTTCATGTATTTCACCACTTGAAAGAGAGAGAGAGGGGAGGAGGAGGCGGGTGGAGAGGAAAAATCGGTGTACCACATGTACCGAAGCTTAACACCGGCAGTTTGTGAAGTGAACAGGCGAGGCGCTGTGCATCATCTCCTGTAGCCTCAGCTCCATACAGACAGTGAGAGACAGCCATGGAGAAGCGGAGAGCGGACTGCTTTCTTTGTTATTTTTAAACTCTTGCAATTCGCAACAATGACACTGTCGGCTGGGACTCGTGTCGGTCCGATAGCCCGATGCACTCGCAAGCAGAAAGATTTTCACCGGTTAAGTATATGTCACTTTTTTTAATGGCTCCCCCCTTGCTCAGAGATTGGGATTGCGGTAATCGGGGGGGAAATATACCATCGCTTTGCTTTGCTGATTGTAAATGTGTTCGGAAATGGTTGCTGGGATTCCCTCTGTGTCCTCTGACGGTAGGGGAAATGTTTACGGGTGCTTATGCTGTGTGTTTAGTTTAGCAGCTGTTAGCGGGTACACCACAGATATTATTAGTGTGACAAAGTTGTGCACTTGTCGGTCGGCTGCTGATAGGCCTGGCTCGCTCTCTCCCTCTATGTGTGTGTGTGTGTGTGTGTGTGGAGTTTGTTTCTGGCTCCCCTCCCCCACTCGCTGTCGTTCTGCTCATTCTGGAGAGGCCAAGACATGGATGTGATGAGAGGCTCACTTCAAAGGAACAACCCAACTGACACGGTTTCAGAAAAAAAGGGTCATTTCCCCCCCTGTTTTAACTCGACTCTGACCGGCGGAAATTGTATGGAATCCCTTCTAAATATACCTCCGCCGGAGCCGCACACCTGAGAGCACAGAAGCGTTCATTTATATATTAATACGCGGATGCATCGTCTTTACAGGTAGCAGCAGTTTGCCCGGGTGATTTATTCCTACCAGCATCGTTAATAGGCCTGAAACGCTCGGTTTTTTTTGGAGGGGAGGGCTAATTTTCATTCCAGCACATCTGGCCTGATGCACAGTGCACGTGCTGCTCACACTCCAGGGCTCTGCAGCGAGCAGAGCCGCTGCTGCCAGTTTTGTCTTCATACAGCCTTTGTTCAATCAGAAAGAAAAGATTTGTATCAGTACTGAACCAGACAAGAGAGTGGGTGTGCCCTAAAGGGAAGGGTGATCTTGCTACAGTAAACCCACCTGTCATTTGTTCTGAAATCATAATTTGGCAACATTTATATTTAATCCTATTAGTCAACAAGTAGGCTGCACTGGGATTTCGATTGGGAAGTGATTTAGGCTGAAGTCAGGGCTATTTGCGTTCAGCTTCTCTACCCGTGATTTGGATCTGCTTGCAGCTGTCAAGAAGTAGTGGATATGTAGTGGAGCTGCTGTGGATATGTGAATTTAAAGGGTCAGCTGTGGCTGCATTAGACCTTAAATTGAATCCTGACACAGTATCTGGGAAGCTTAGCCATAAGCTAAGCAGTCCATACTGCGTAGAGGTGGAGATCCGGGCTCTACGGTGTCGTTCCTCAGCAAAAAAGCAGCACACTTGGTTATTACACAAAGACTAAGATGTGTCCTTGATCCCTAAAATCATTTGATACACCATCCCAGGTCCTTCCCTAACACCAGGGGGTATCATATAAAACGAAAATATGGCATAAGGATGTAGAATGTGTCATTTGCAGTACTGCTATGTCAGCTAGTGGGAAATAGACTTGGGCTGCTTCATTATCAATTTAATTTTGTAAACCCCAAGTGAATTTTCACCCTTCCAATACTAATTTGAATGAAACTGGAATAGATGTGTGAGCTAATGATATGCATTTGCTACACTGTATTCATACTGCTGTCTAGTAAAAATACGCCTCTAGACTTTCGGCGCATATTAAAGGCCTAATAGCTGTAGATTTCGATTTCTGCTCAGGTTTGCAGATTGTATGTCGAATATCTGATCCTAGCGCATGAATGCTTTTCTTTCACTTTACGCTTTTTTGATTATAAAGTACCGCTGTACTGATTTTTACTGTGGGTGTGTTATTGGACATGACTCAAATGTGAGATCAATGTGCTTTAGGGCTTTAGAGTAGTTTTCAAAAGCTGACACAGAAATAAGTGATATTTATTTACCTGCTTTAAAAAAATCCAGCAAAACAAAAAGAAAAAGCCCAAAAACCAGATTGGTATTCTATTGATTGTGAATTTCTCAGTGTGGAATAAATTGTATTGTAAAAACCTCAGAGCAATGTTACACTGTTAGTGCCCTGTCACTGAGTAGCAAAAGACTGCCTTTCTATGACGTGTTGAAGCTGCATCTCATTATAAATTTTCCTCCTTGCAGGAGTTCTTTTGCAGTGGCATAAGTAGAACTCTGGATCGAATAGTTGTGCAGTGTGGGCTCTACGGGGACGTGGTATATGGATGCTGGGACTATGAGCATAAGCGACAAACGGGGCTACTTAGCAGACCTAGGAGGCAGCTTCACTGAGGATGCTCCCAGACCTCCTGTCCCCGGTGAAGAAGGAGAGCTCATATGCAGTGATGGTCGCCAGCACAGCAACCTCAGCTTCTCCTCGAAGAATGAGAGCCTCAAATGTGAGCCGTCTGTGGCTACACCCAGGCGATCTGACTTGGACCTGGGTTACGAGCCGGAGGGCAGCGCTTCGCCAACACCACCCTACTTAAAGTGGGCGGAATCTCTTCATTCTCTCCTGGATGACCAGGATGGCATCCTGCTGTTTAGGACGTTCCTCAAGCAAGAGGAATGTGCAGATATGTTGGACTTCTGGTTTGCCTGCAGTGGTTTTCGGAAACTTGAAGCCAGTGAGGTTACTGAGGAGAAGAAGGTGAAACTGGCAAAGCTGATATATAAAAAATACATCCTGGACAACAATGGGATTGTCTCTAGACAGATCAAACCAGCTACAAAGTCCTTCATCAGAGACTGTGTGATGAAGCTTCACATTGATCCTGCCATGTTTGATCAGGCTCAGACTGAAATACAGACTATGATGGAGGAAAATACCTATCCATTATTCCTTAAATCTGACCTATATTTGGAATACACACGGACAGGGGGTGAAAGCCCAAAGTTGTACAGTGACCAAAGCTCGGTTTCTGGCAATGGAAAGGGGCTATCGAGCTATTTACCACCTTTAAAGGAGTATGAGGAATGGAGATGCGACCAAGGACCAGAGGAGCTGCCTGAGTGCGACCCCACGCCAAGCAGCCGTCTGACTCAGAAGCTGCTGATGGAGACGGCACAGCAACGAGTTGCCAACAGCACAAGATTCCAGGACAGTCACGAGTACAGGTAAATCCTCCGAGCAATCGAAAAAGCTTCACTTCAGTTTTAGCTGCACAGCATTCCTCTGAAAACTGCTGAATTAGAAAAATAAAAAAGCCCTGAAACTGCACACCAGCACTTGGGCTGATGTGACTGTGAGTGTAGCTCAGGAGATGGCAAAGACTGTGTGTGAAGAGAGTTTTAAGTATTTGCACTTATGGTGGTGAACAAATCTCAGAAGATAATAAGGCTGCATTACCGACTGTTTGGAGGTTGCAGCAGAAATCTCTGTGGTGCTTGTGAGGGCACTCTAATAATCATGTGTTTTGCTTAGGCACTGGAACAGACTTTGTATTGAAAGAGTCAAACAATGATTTTGTTTAAGGAGGAGTTCTCCTGAAATCATTGACCCTGGAGTTTGTAATCTTTGCCTTCCCTTTCCTCTGTATATGAGGGCTCCATAATAAAATATTGCAAAAATCCTGTTTGACTGTTTAGTCTAGAGCTCCCAAACATTTTTTTTTACTGTTAGCCAGGGCTGTTAATAGATCCTTAAAGTAGGGATCCTTTTTGAATTTTAATTCACAAAAATATTAAAATCTTCACAACAATATGACATGTTGGAATGCACAATCCTATATGATCTTTTTTCAGTTTACACATCTGCTGCAAGCTTTCAGTACATTACATGGTCAATAGTGCAGCTTAAAGTCAAAGAAAATATGCTAATAAAAAGTGGAATGTGTTATGTAGAATTGGGACAAAGTTCATTTTTTGTATTCTGAAGCACATCAGCTGCATACCAATGTCCAGGTCTACAAAGTCTTGGCTTTTTAGCGCCAGTCAAGTGTTGAGTCGAGGTGTACTGTTTTGTGTTTGCCTGTCATGCTCCTGCACATGCTCTTGTTTTTCACAGTATTTATTCCAGTGCTGATATTTCTGATTGCATTGTTAACAGCTGAACAGAACTGGTGGTTTATTAAATTACCTATAGCTATGTGCTGTTATATTTGGTAATGTCTGCATGAGTGAACTGGAAATGCCCCGGAAGACCAAGTCTGATTAATCAAACAAGACAAATCTTCACTGATGCAACACTTGGATTTCTTTCTTGTTCTTTTTTTTTTGTATAGGCTGGCCTTAGGTTGTTGGTAATCTTTTCCTTGATTTTTAAATATGCATAATAGTGATAATAATTAATAGCTCGGAGCTGTATGAAGGGAAAGAAAACTTTGGTTTAAGGTTGGTTATATTACAGAATGTACTGGATATATGTGGGTAGATCTCAGTGATATTTTATGCATGGAACCTTTCCAACATACAGCAGTCGAGAGACTGGCAGAAAGAAGTGATATTTTATTGGCTTTGGTAGGTTCTGAGTATTTAGACCAGGATCTAGATGATTCAAAGGCAAAGGAAATTATAATCCTGTTAAATTAAAAGAAAAAGCCGCTTAGAAACAGAAACTTTGTTACAAGGGCTGATAGGAAGTCAACTTCTAAAACTTAGTGTGAACTAAGGCTACGGCTTCAGCAGAAGGTTAAGGACTCTTGCAGTAAAAATTGCCAACAGAAGCATGTTTGGTGTGCGTCACTGTTGAAATCTCACAAGGAGCACTTGTAGCATTGTTCGGTTATTGCTACAACGTAAATAGCCACATTGTAAGACTTTAACGCAATTGCCTAATTTGCTGTTATGTATAATTTTCAATTTGCATCACTGTCAGACTACAAAAATGTTGCCATGTTTGACCTCTGTTCCTGCAGTAGCAGCGGTATGATGGTGGGGACAGGAATTTACATCAGCTGACGAACATAGAATACCTTACAGATAGAAAGTTCTCTGTTGCAGCAATATTGAACACAGCCCTGTACTATGTATCTGTGACTGAAGAAATCATTTGGTCAGTTAAACAGCGTGAGCATGACTACTACCCTTTCTTTCCAAATTCGTTCACTGTGGGCACCTAGACTCTTACTAGCTGATATCTGCAGATTGCAGAATGCAAAAGGCTCTGTTGGAGGATATGAATGTTTGAAATCTTATCCAAAATATAGAAAGGAACAAAAAAAAAAAAGCTTCTGCCGCAGGCATTTCGGGCGTTTGCTGGTGAAAATCTACACGGCAACTGATAAAGAGGTTTTAAGTTGTGATTGAAACACACTTGTGAGCTTATTTCCACATCATTATTTCAGCAATCAAGCATTTGGCCAGAATTACAAAAAAGCATTTCATTTTTAAAGCATCACCCATTGGGTTTTTGTGAAACTAAATTTTACAGCAGTTTTGTCAGATCTCTTCAGAGACAGGCAACAAGAGACATTAAATAGTCTTTCAGAACAGCTTTAAGAAATGAGATGACTTGAAAGAGAATAGCCTTTATGTGCATTAATGTTTTGGGAGATTTTTGCAATGTGAACGAGTCAGATTTGTTCTCATTAAAGTTAAAGTTATATTTCAAAGGCACGACTTCACTATATTTGTTATTTTCAATGAAAGTTGTTGTTGCCTCTGAGTAATATTAAAAGCCACCCCACAACAATCACCAGGCTTAAGTAGAGTTGAGTTGCACATGGAATAATAATAATATTAGTCACAATTTTTATATTGTGTAAGTTAGATAGAGATACTGAGATACTGTATTGCATTTTTCAAGTTAAAATCTTGAACTGCCAGTGCCACCCATGCTTTCTTCCTGGCTGGCAAAGAATGCTGAAATGCACGTTTCGAGAGCTACGCCTGAATGTATCGAAGAGACGAGTGTTCAGTGTTCGGTGACGGAGATGGTTTGATACGACTAATGGCCCTACGCTCATTATCGCGGGTGTCGTGTGCTGATTTTGACATAGCTTCGTGTGTTGCATGCCAAAATCTTTGTGGCGCTTCAGCCAGTCAGGTCGTGCACCTCGCCGTTTTTGAAACCGGGTGCCGAAGCTGGGTTGAAGACACGAGTGTACGATCGTGTCGGGTTTTTTACGGCCACTTTAATGATATTCCAGCACAGAAGCTCAGAGACTTACAGATATACAGAGGAAGATTTTGCAACGTTTTGAAAACTTGAGAGTTTGCGAAAACTTTGCAAAAAAACAAAAAGTCAAATCTTTGCTTCTGGTTTTGGCTTATTTTCCTTGTATATCAGTATTTATGTGCCAGTATTATCTGAGTTGCGACACCTATCATTCAGGAGAATACTGCAATTTGAGACAATGTTACAGTGGCGAGAAAAGCAACAATCGGGCCGGAAATACTCTGGCCTTAAAGAAAGCATCTATGTACCCAGTGAATGACTATCATTGAACAGAGGTGGTGGGTTAAGAAACCAGTAAACAGATAACACCTTTTCTTCTTTCAGTTGTATCAAAAATGTTACCACATACTCCACAATTACCAGTTTAAAGGTTTTGATAGAATGCAATTTTAATACTTGTACTAGCCCTTTGCTAACCTGGTGTTCTAATTATTCATAATTATAACATATTTATAAGCTAAATGTTAATGAAGTTGAGTGCAGTGATTTTGTTTTGAACTCTGGCTCTTAACAAGGAAAAAAGGACTTCAGGAAATTGCAATTTGAAAAGAAAGTATTGATGTCTTGCATGTATAATTTTTATTAACCTTTATTTAACCAGGAAGATCCCATTGAGATTAAAAACCTCTTTTTCAAGGGAGACCTGGCCAAGATAGGCAGCAGCAGGTGTCTCACAGTTACAGAAAAACATTTATAGAAATGTTTTCTAAAAATGTAAAAGGTTTTAAAAGAAGTTTCCCTAAATTTCATTAAATCTATGAGGAAAAATTGCATCTGGATGTGTCTGACATTTGACTGTCCAATACTCTGGTATTGAATTTGAAGAGTATGGCATGATGGTGCAGCAGTCAGCACTGTTGCCTCAGAGCAATAAGATCCCTGATCAGGCCATCTGGAGTTTACATGTTCTCCAAGTTCCTGTGTTCTCCCAAAGTACTCCAGCTTCCCCCGACTATCCAAAAGCATGCACGTAAGGTGATCCTATAATTGTCCGTAGGTGTGAATGTGAGCGTGAATGGTCATCTCTGTGTTCCTGCTGTGGACTGGTGGTCTGTCCAGGTTGTACCCTGCCTTTTGCCCTATGACAGCTGGAATAGGCCCCAATGCCCTGTGACTCTGATTTGAGCCACAGGGCACACAGGGCATTTGAGTCACAGGGTATTTTACATGCTGAAATGCTATCAAAAATGCTGTTGCTAGCCTTTCTTGCTCTCTGTTGCTCTTACTTTACTCTGGTTGAGAGCCTGTTTGTGTAAGCCATGCCAAAGAGATAGAAGTGCGAGTGACAGGATATTACAGCAGCAAAAAAATAAATGAAAAAGATAATAATGGATTGGATTTATATAGCGCTTTTCAAGGTACCCAAAGCGCTTTACAATGCCACTATTCATTCACTCTCACATTCACACACTGGTGGAGGCAGCTACAGTTGTAGCCACAGCTGCCCTGGGGCAGACTGACAGAAGCGAGGCTGCCATATCGCGCCATCGGCCCCTCTGGCCAACACCAGTAGGCGGTAGGGTAAAGTGTCTTGCCCAAGGACACAACGACCAGGACAGAGAGCCCGGGGATCGAACCGGCGACCTTCCGGTTACAGATACGCTTCCCAACCCCCTGAGCCATGGTCGCCCCATGATAAAAACCTTTTACACTGTATGAACAAACAGAGTCTCTCATAACTCGCAGTTAATGGCTGTTTATGGCCTTTGAAGCCTCTGTTTCCTTGTGCCAGACATTTTTCAGATGTGAATCACTGGCAGTCAGGTGGCACGAGGGGTCAGGAGGGGTCAGGGGATTGATATAAACTAGCATTAGGCTCACTGTCAAACTTGGGAAAACACCGTATAGTATTTGCAAACGACCTAAGTTGTGTATAATTAGTGGGCCTATATGAACTTAAATCCAATCTCACTTATGCCAACAATGGCAAAAAATTAAGCAAATCTGAAGAATTAAATCGAAGGACTCTCATGTTCTCCTATCCTCATTCCTGTGGTTGAAGATAGAAATCTTCATCCAGCTACAAGAGCTGCAGGTTCTGTTATCATAATAGAGCTTTCTGACAGATGGAAAACATTTAAACAAGTATGTTACAGAAAATAAATAGCAGGAACAAATAAACTCCAGAATGTAGTGACATGAGTTTATCCATCCTGCTTACTTCATCCTTACTTTGAGGCAAACTCAGTTTAAAAAAAAGCAAGATAAAATATCAATCAATCAACAAATATTCATTCATGTATTGATTTGTTTTTATATGCAAATTGTATGTCCTCTGCTCCTTTATTCTTTGCTTCAAAGTCGTGAAGACAGCACACTGCTGCCTATACTGCACAAAAAACAAAACAAAACTGACTTCTCATTAATGCACTCAGTTCAACTGATTCTTGGCCTGAAGGCTGGTGTTTTACAAGATGTAGCATTTCTAATCTTGTTTATGTTGGTATGTTAACTACCTTAGAAATCATCCAAAAAACTTGAGGATGCCTTTCATATCTCGGTCTACTTCTGTTTGTTACCCTTTTGTCACCATGTCCTGTTTTTTGTTTTTTTCTTCTTTCTTTTTTTCCCCTCATTTTTCCAGGCATGCACCATGTCGGGAGACAATCAACCCGTACTACGTCAACACTGGCCATGTTATGGCTCCTGCCACCAGCGCCAATGACAGTGAGCAACAGAGCATGTCCAGTGACGCAGACACCATTTCCCTTACAGACAGCAGTGTGTATGTATTTTGGCTTCATCCAAACATTTCACACACAGTTGTACCAGTTAAAACAGGCTATGCAGGTTACAACTTTTAGGGGAATGACAGTTTTACCTTCACCAATAAAATAGACAGGATCCTATTATATGTGGGAATAGTATATATTTTAGTGCAACTTGGATTTCAGTGTTTTTAAGTCATAGCCAGTTGTGTGCTTTTGAATGAAGATATGCAAAATAAAGACTTTTAGTTGCAGATATGACACTGGGGAATTCAGCCAACGAAGCTTCAAAGCATGCACAACTGCACAAAAATGTTTTTGAAGCTGAATGGATTAGAGGCTGTTATCAGCTAACTGACCCAGGACTTCCAGAACAGGAAAAAAAACCCAGAATGAGTAATATCATATAAAATTACACTCTTCTGCATGTTATATGTCACAACGCCGCTTGTGCAGAAGGGACACTATTAGCCTGTGAGCATACCTGTCCTGCTTTACTAATGAATCACTATCTAGGTGTTCATTTTAGGCACAAATCCTGTGAAAAGCTTTCAACTTCAAAGCTGCCTCTGTTGTTTATTCATGAGCATGTTTTATGAAAATGTCTTTGTTTAATTCCAGAGATGGGGTTCCACCCTACAGATACCGCAAGCAGCATCGCCGCGAGATGCATGAAAGTGCCAGAGCAAATGGGCTAGTGCCACTACCTCATATTCCAGTGAGTTATTCATGGGTTATTTCCCTTTTCTCTCCATTTCTGCCTCGACACCTTTAGCTGTCGGTTCCTGGCTTATTTTTCTCTGCTCCGCCATTGGAGATGTGCATATTTAAGCTCTGCTGTGTCGCGGGGTCCTGTGATGATGGAGTATAAGAATAGCTGATGGTGAAAGAGTAGTCTGTCTAAATGCAGCTTGATGCTTTCCTAAGCTGCGTGCGCTTGAAGCCTAGTAGACATGAACCTTTCCCTGTGACAGCCTGATGCCTCCCTCTGCAGCTCCTGCTCTCTCTTGGTAGGAAACTCGAGCTCTAATTAGGCCTTGGAGTAAAGCGTCAAATTAAAATGCCTCATCCAGCCTCTCATTAAGATGTAAGAATTGACTATATAGAAGAGCCCAAATCTCTACCCCTAACAAATTACTCTTCAGTTTTTTTTAATAAGAAAAAACAGAGATTATGTTTTAAATATGTTTAAAGAAGAGTCTCTTGTCAAGTTATTTTTGCACTTACTGGATTCAAATCGGGGGGCACAGTTTGAATAGGTAAGATTGCAGTGTAATTGCATACACTGACAGGAGAAGAAATTGTACACTTTACAAAAAAACCCAAGACTAAAGTTGCAGTTCCTGTGTAATTAAGTAGAATTTCAGTAGAATTTATTTTATTTGAAATGACAATGTAATTATATTAACATACAAATACTTAAAGGTAGGTACACTAAAAAAGCAATCAAACAAGGAAATAAATTGAAGTGGTGGAAAAGTGGAAGGAAATCATGCAGTACTTAATATTATTTAAAACCTTATTTAAAAGGACAAAAAACAACATTAACTGTCTTTCTAAGGTGTTGGGCTAATGGATGCTGGCACAACAGCTTTAGTGCTCATTGGTGTTAATTCTCGAGGTCCCAGGAACTCTACTGGACAGTTCTCCCAAAGCCTCCATTTAGAGTTTTTGTGACTGTGGTGTGTTAAATCTGCAGTCGGTTAACAAGGTTTAAATATGCCTATGGTAAAAGCAGTAGCATATGTTTTACATCATTTTGATACTCATCCCAACCCCCACAAGACCTACGCATGACTGTCTTTCAATTCAGCAGACTACTTCCATCATGACAGACATGAAAGACGAACACCCGGAAAAGCAGGGGTCTAGTTGGGCCCAGCTATGCCAGAAAAATGCTCCCACAGCATAACAGCTCTGATGGATCCCCCTCACTGTAGGGACCAAGCATTCCTGCTTTAAATTGAATTTGTCACATATCTGTAGAATGAGGCCGTTATTAAATCTGGTCTAAATCTCTTTATGTCCTCACAAACAAAGACACCTTTATCAAATATATGTATTACAATGTAAGTAAGTAAAATAATGTAAGTGATGTATTTCTAAGATAACTGTGTTTATGAGAAAATGTGATTTGATCTTTATGTTAGTTAAATATATGAACTATTGCCCTGTTGTAGGGCAATAGCCCTAATCAGTGCTAACAGCTGACCTGATTAGCTATTTTTGTGGGGCGGCAATAATGCACAATGAACATTCATTCTTTAATTTATTATTCATACCTTTTTTTTGCACTTTAAGGTTTACTGTGTTGTGGTTTTTTTTGTGTTTAGTGCCGACATGGGACAGTTTTCCAATTTCGTTGTGTTATTGTACGAGGTATTACTGTGCAATGACAATTAAGAGTTATCTTATCTTACTTTTATGTCAGAGAACCTCCTTAAGCAGCACAAACAATAATTTTGTGCCATTTTATTCCAACAAAACAGTTTTAGCTCATTAAAATTATCATTAATATTTTTAGTTCATGCCTTAAAACTTCAATAAGATTAACGTCTGGTCATTTCTTGTATTTTTACCATTCATACTTATGTTCTTTCTGTCATTGTCTTTTTCCATTAGTCAACCTCTCCTAAGGTTGTGCTGCCCTGATATTCTTCTGTAAAAGTTCTTTGTACAATATGGCAAGACACTTGTCAATGAAATATTAACTGAATTGAAGACTAAATGATTCAGATACCAAACTGGTGAGTCCCTACTGCTGGGGAGCAAACCCACATCTTCAGAAATAATTACTGTTAATACTTATTTTAAAGTTTTTCATGGTTCACACCAATCAGTCTTGAGCAAATACTCAGACTTGCAAGGTTAAGAGTATTTTACAGCAGTGAATGAAGCATACTGAAAAAAAGCCCATCAGCTTTAGTGATATTTAGTGGTAAAGTTGTGGCACATTCGCTAATACTTAAATTTATTATCCCTTTGGTGTTTTTAACACTCAACACCATCTAGTTTAATGTCTTCCTGCTTATGTTTAAGCACTTTAATGTGATTGCTGAAAGGATGTTGGAGGCCAAGGTGGGAAAACATCCTGGGACTGCTGAAGTGGCTTTGACAGTAATGCAGCAGTGCTTACATTTTGACATTTCTTTCTCCAGCGCCCAAACCGGATTCCAAAGGATATACACGTGGAGCCAGAAAGGTTTGCTGCAGAGCTGATCAGGAGACTGGAGGGCGTACTGAAAGAGAGGGAGGCTCAGGAGAAACTAGAGGAACGACTGAAGAGAGTACAGTTGGTATGTTCTCTCTGTTTTCTGAAGAAGCGTATACTATTGAAAGAACAATCAGAAGCTGTATTTTGTTAATTCTGGCTAATTTATATGAATAAGAAGCATCCTTTAGCGGTTTCTACAGAGGTTCAGGCTGAATGGAACCACGTGTTCACTGAATGACCTCTAATATAGTCTCAACAGTGCAGAGCTACTGGTTACACATTCAAGTCATGTGAGGAAGTGTTAGGAGCTGAATATTGCTACTACTGTGTAACACAACTGAAGGATTTTAGTGATGAGGGGATAGGGGAAATGAAAATATGAGTTCCTAAAGTTAAAAATGCTTTGGGGCAAAGGAACAATTCTTTTTTATTTGCTATATCATCAGTAATATGTCAGCTAATAATGAAAAATGCAGTACAGTGACCTAAAGAACTAAACTTAAAACATTTTTTCATTTGCAAAGCTTGAGTCAGAGACTGTTTGTGATTGCAACATGAAGGGCTGGTTTTAAAGATCACATTTAAAGTCCTCACAGTGCAAATGGTAAAATCAAAGAGCTCTGTTTTCCCAATTTACTAAGTTTGGTTTACTTTAATAAAAGAATACTTGAATAGATTGTGAAAGCTTATTGAAAAGCAGATTGCTGGTTGAAGTGTAACAGTAGATTCTACCGATGCTTATTTCTGAGCCAGACTGTGAGGTGTGTGCTCGGCCGTTGAGCTTTAAGTCTTCAGTAACAAAGGAGACTTAAATCCACCTGGCCTTAATGAAATTAATGAGGCCAACCATTTGAATAGGGAATAAAAAAACATTATGAATCACTTGGAGAATTCTGTCCTTGGCCTGTCAGCAATCTGGCTTTGTCTGTGAATCAGATGGAGCACCTGCACATGCCGCCACTTGTAAGCCTGGAACAGTGAGCCGCCTGTTTGATGTCACTTGAATGTTGATGAAATGGTTCCTGAAACCACAAATGAAATCTCCCTCAGTGTACGGTGCCAAGTATTAAGTCTCAAGGCAGGCAATTTATGTGGGTAGCTATGAAAGGAAAGAAGGTGCCATCACGCAGCTGAAGGTTTGGCCTGTAGAAACGGGAGGCGAGGACGCCATTCATCAAGTAATACTTTGGAAATGTGAGCTTGGGTTTTAGCTTGTAAATGAGGATATCAGAAGCAGTAAAATGTGATATAGTTATGGTGTCTGTAGCATAAAATTAGATTTTTAAGGGTGTGCCATCTTGTTAAAAAATCCAAAATCTGATTCCATGACAATGCAACTTTTCAGCTTTCCACAGCTCCGTCATGCATTCTGCACAAAATTTGATTAGGACTTCACATAATGTAATTATTGTACGGAGTAAGCAAATTATCGGCAAAAGATCGTGAGCAGGGCTCTCACTGATTCCTCGAAATATCTGCTCGTCTCTTCTTCATTGTTCTGTGTGGATTTTGTGGGCTCGGCTAGCGCAGATATCCGGATGGAACGCGGAGATGTAAAGAAACATCAATTACTTAAAAACTTGCCAAAAAATACTTGGCTGCATGGGTCATATTTTGCAATACAGCTGCATCTAAGAAAGCCGTGGGCATGAGAAAGTTAACTGCGTGTATGAACAGGCTGAGTTTCCTTTTCACACAGTTGGAGTAAGAGGATGGCGAGCACAGAGGCAGCGCTCAAAAGATGGTTTGGCATGTTTACAAGTGGAGATCTATTGAAGGTTGATTTAATTATTGACATAGCTGGCATGAAAGGTTTGAGCTTGTGCTGGTTAAAAATGAAAAGTAAAATCTGTCTTTCCATATATACATATTCTCCCCTTTACCTTCTTTCTCTGCCAAAATGTTCCCACCTTTATACAGGAGGCAAAATAAAAGGCGTATGGTGCTCATTTCTCCACCTACAATAAAATGTTTTCTCTTTATCAAAATTTCCCCGGGAAATTATGATGAATATATTATTATCAGGGTGAAACTGAATGCTTAAGGTCTTTACTGTCGCCCTGGACAACCTACTGGCATGACTGTTGAGATTACAGGGGGCAGCAGGATTACATGATGACTGTGTCATCAGTTTTAACCACAAGTCAAGAGCCGTTGTTGTAAATAGGTGCTCATTTTGGTTTGGTGTAAACAACATGTGTTTGAATAGGTGGAGAAATAGTTTTAAAGTGCTCATGTAAATCTGCCCTTTGCGTAATGCTGCTTCGTTTAAATAGCCACGGGGCCTTATTGTATAGTAGTGAAGCATGCTAGTGCTAAGCTAAAATATCATTCACATCAAGGATTATGTGGAAACAAGTTAGAAGAGGGGAAATTATATATCATTCGTGATCCTGTCATGATCGGTAATCTCTGATAGGGATTTATTTTTTTCAACCACGAGTATCAAATAAAAATGCTCGAGCTCAAGTGTGGATTTCTAGAGACATTACACTCCTAGAAGTTTCCATTAAAAAAAATCTAGTAATGTTTTATGATAGTTTGTTATGTCAGTATTTCATTTAGAATAAAGTATTTCTGTTAACAGAGGCGTGAGATCCTGGGCCATATAGGAATAACAACATGACCATGCAGTTCTTGACTGGCATTCTCCGTTCACTCTTTCCGTTTAACATTGCACGTCCTGCACTTCCTACAGTGCCTGCTTATCAAAACCTATTATGAAAGCCTGCAGCACCCCACCCTTTAAATCCCCCTGGAGACGAGTCTGTCAGAGAGTTTTGTCCCAGTCAGTCAGCGCTCGAGCTGTAGCAGTTCTGCTTGTCATGACACGAAGCCACAGAAATATGCTATTTGGATGCTGAAACGGTTGTATTCATAGATTGTCTCCAAACTGCTGCATTAAGAAGGAGAACACACATTTCAACTTAAGGTTAAACCTGCCATCTTCAGGTTGAAATAAGTACTGCAGCTGCAGCCTGGTGGAATAGCATCAGTTGTGCTGATAGTGCACATGGAACACAGCTGGTGAATAAATAAAATGCACATTTACATATTTTGTATTTCTTTGCTATATGATTTAAATATAGCAAAGAAATTGTAATCCATGCTACGAGTATATATACATTATTTATAAATTAGGTTAGCCTTTTTTGTGTTTTCTTTGTGTTATATGTTGTGTTTATCTTCATTTAGATTTTTATTTCAAGGTTTTATCTTTTACATTGTGCGTATATTTGTTTGTGCTAAAGGAAGAGGAGGCTGACGAAGTCATGATGGCCACAGCAACATCATTATCCAGTCACAGGTTCCCCCCTGGTGCTTATTCACAGAATTACAACCCTCGCTATGCTGACAACACCTACAGCGCTCCTTTTGTCGGAGATGCTCATGAAGAAAACCCAGAGAGCATCTTGGACGACCACGTGCAGCGAGTCATGAAGACCCCAGGCTGCCAGTCGCCGGGAACCGGCCGTCATTCTCCGAAGTCGCGCTCACCAGACGGTTTCCCAGGGATAAAAGGGATTGGGATGCCAGGCCAGGGTAAACATGCATCCAGGCACGGTTTCAAGGGAGAAACTAGCCACTTGTACCACCACAAACACCATGGCCACCACACAAGCGTGGGCAAGCCCAAAGAGCAGGTGGGGGCTGATTTAGTCACGCATGTGCATGGGAGCTTTCCCTGGAGCACCGAGTCAAGTCATTACGGATCAAAGTCTCGCAGCTATGCAGATGGCATGGGATCCAACCCCATGGACTATGCAGGGTACATGTAAGGAACAAACTAAGAAAAACTGAATTCACACATGAAAAATACCTGTTGTTTTCTACTTATCAGTTATTTATTTTCTATTTTGCAGCGGGAGAGGTGGCACACAGTGTAAAAGAGCATCAAAGAGAGGTGAGGAATTGCGGCCTTATGACATGCCGGGGCCTGGAGAGGAGATGGAGAAAAACCAGAAGATCCTTTTGTGGCTGATGGAAGGACAGAAAGAAATGGTTCAGCATAAGAGAAGCCCATATGGGTCAGTCATTACCTTTTATTAGAAAACATAAATTTTTTTCCTTTTTTTTAATTAAATAAAACTAAAACATTTTAGACATGTGCTCATGCCACTATGTCACCAGTGCACAAGTAAAGCTAAAATATGCTAAAATAAGCATGTTTCTTTATTTTATTAAATAAATTGCTGATATGTTTTTTATCATAGGAGCACCACTGGGTCCAAAAGGACTGTTGGACATGAGGGATCCCGCCTCGGCTCAACGGGGTCGATGCATCCGTGCATCAGTGGTCAGCTGCGGAACAGTGTGCAGCCGTCTCACCCTTTCATCCAGGATCCCACCATGCCGCCCAACCCAGCTCCCAGCCCCCTCATTCAGCTGGAGGAGGTTTGCCGGCGACTCGAGGAGGAGAAGATGAAGTCCGGAACATTGCAGCCTAAGCAAAGGTAAAAGAACAGATATGACTCATGTCCACTTGTTTAGTTCTTCAGTTTTTCCAAAGAATATAATATTCTGCCATATCTGTACCCTGCTCTGTCGTACTTGTGACAATTGCTCCCCTCTTCAGCTCTTGGAGCTAAGTCATTGCTGGCTGTCAGCAGATAGAAATCTCAAATATATTGTGAAATACAAAGAGATTTAAAAGGCACAGACAAGCTTGTGTAAATGGTTTGAAAAGGGTTTGAATGTCACAGACTGTAATTTATATATATTAGTTAAGCCACAAAAGAGAAAGCCAGCCCTTTCCCTGTTATCTAGTGAAAATCTTTAGCCCGTGCGCCTCTTTTTTTTCTTCTTTTTTTTAAGCTGGTCTGTGTCTAACCACCTGGGTTTTTTGGTCTCTCAGGTATGTGCTGGAGGTGATCCAGAGGGATCGCACAGCAGTCAGGCCCGTACAGTTCCCTCAGCTCAGCGAGCTCTCCGAGCCCGAGTACGTCCACTGTGTTCCACAAATAGCT